ATAACAATACAGATGTGTGATTTGATGATCGGTGGATAGTTACCATTATGACATCAAAATGCTTTTTTTTAATTTGAGAGAAAATAATAAAGACTTTGAAATAAATTTTATTTACTTTTGAATAGAAGCTCAATATAGCAATATGCACGTAAATGGCACATAAGGTATCATTTTTGTTTTGAATCTGAAATCTTAGGGGATAAACTAGGGAATAAAGTTAGGGGAGTCTACTGAGAGGATGATAGAGGAAAAGATTTGCTTTCATATTATTCTATCATACACCAAGAAGAGCTATGCGCGAAAGAACTAGGATTTGACCGCCTAATGAAAGTAGTGAGCGATACAATAAATTTTATTCACTGGCATGCTTTAAACCACAAGCAATTTAAGGAAATCCTAGAACATACAGATGCACCACATAGTGATCTCATATATTACTCTGAAGTATGATGGTTGAGCCGTAGAGAGCTTTGAAAAGGATTGCTGATTTGATTGATGAAATAATACTATCCCTTGATGAAAATGGGAAACAAACTAGGTTTTTAAAGGAAAAGGGCGTAGCTAGGGTTTCCAGCGCCCGGGGAACTCTAAAGTATGATGGTTGAGCCGTAGAGAGGCTTTGAAAAGGGTTGCTGATTTGATTGATGAAATAATACTATCCCTTGATGAAAATGGGAAACAAACTAGGTTTTTAAAGGAACAGGGGCGTAGCTAGGGTTTCCAGCGCCTGGGGAAAATTGAAGAATTTGCGCCCCTTTCTGTGTGCCAAGAATGGAAAACATTTCATTAGAAAATTTCATAGCATCAATTTGGCGCCCTTTGGATGTTGCGCCCGGGGACAGATGTCTCCCCTTGCACCACCCTAGCTACGCCACTGTAAAGGAACCATCTTTCAAGTGCGACTTAGCATTTTTAGTTGATGCGAGAGCCCATCTGAATGACCTAAACACAAAATTGATGGGAAAAAAACTAGTTCATCAATCACCTAACAAGCAGTATCTGCTTTCAAACTAAAACTCCAGCTGTTCTCAAAGCAGCTTGGCTGTCAAAATTTTGTCAATTTTCTGTACCTGAAGAAGCTAAAAGAAAATTTTCCTGATAAACAACTGGAAAGGCTGCTTATTTTTTTTGTAAAGTGATTTACAGACTTTGAATTGCATAAGATTAAATTTAAACTGTTCAGGGCTCCATTGTAGTCGAAGAAGCTCCAGAAGATGTTCAATCAGAACTTATCGATGTACAAACTTCTGACTTATGCAAATCCAGATTCCATGATTTAGATATTCTGGACTTTTGTAGAACTCCACCTGCCGAATTTTTGCACTTAAAAAATAATGCAAGCAGATGTGCTATCATGTTTGGTAGCATATATATATGTGTGAACAAACATTTTCTCTTATGAATCTAATGAAGTCAAAATTAAGAAATAAAGTGACAGATCAACACTTGCAATCTGTGTTATGAATATCAACAACTAACTTTAACCAAATATATCAAAAATTTTCATATAAAATTCAGTCTCAACCATCACACTAATGTATTTAATTATGGCTAACTTTACACATTTTTATTAAAATATTTGTATGCAAGTATTAAATTATCATGCAAAAGCATAAACTGTATTTTTTCCCCCAAACTGAACTGGGTGTTTTGGGTCCAGTAGTACATGCAAGGGAAACCGCATCCCTCTTAGCTTAGTATAACAATGGGCCCCCTTTTCCCTGAAGATGTGCAAATAAGTAAATCCTAATGGAGTTTCTGCCACACCTGAGTGGTATCGTACAAAGTTCAAAATCTGGACGTCCATTATCTGGAATGAGCTAAAATCCGGACCTCAAAGCCACAAACCATCAAGAAAATCAAAACCATCAACCATCAATAAAATTTTTCTCGTAGGCTTTACGCATGCGCATTTGATTTCCCCCTCCGTGTATAATAAAACATCTGGAGAGTCCCAATTCTTAATTTCACTTCCACACCAAATAAAATACCTTGTTACTGAAGAAACAATCAATTTAGCATAAATTTGTATGATCAGTAATTTGGCTCCGTTGCTGCGTATTTGCTTGGCACGCATCTCAAACCGAAACATTCTGCATAGGTACATCATAGATCTGATGCACACCTGGCAAATCATTATTTATTATACTTTCCTTTCATTACCACATGTTTATCTAAACATCTACTTGACTAATGACTCGCAGTACTCGTTATCTACTTGAGTAATGACTCATAGCAATACCTAAAAAAAATATTTTTTTTAGTATTTGAATAATAAAAGAGTGTGGTGACCTTATATGTTGACATTACGCTTGATTTCAGTTGTGCTAAAAATTGTTGATGAGGAAAAATTTACCAAAAATTTCTTTCCATATGCTAAAAATAGATTTTGTTAACCCAAAGATTACATTTAGGGCTCTTTGAATTAAGAATAACTGATTTGGTATTCACATAAACCCGGAACCAGCGCAGGACTCGTATGGTCACACTGGGTTGCAGAATTTAGGACATATTTATTCAGAACTCTGATAATGTGCATGTGCAAGAAATAGACATAAGTATAATAGATAACTAAACTAATACAATGCAGGCTTAATTGTCTCAGTGCATGATAGAAGCAAGATAAAATTTAATGGAACGACGTGTCATTAGTCGCCAAGCTCATGATGCATAGCCAAATATGTATAGTGAAGGATAGCTAAATTTAATGATAATAGCCGCGAATTTTAAAGGTTTTCAGATATAGCAAAGCAAAGGTGAAATTTTCGAATTAACAGATTTTGTAAAGAAATGTGGAGAAGCGGTAATAAATGAAGATGATATAAAAGAAGTTTCTTATTGTGATGACAATGCTTCTCAATCATCAATCAATTAATGAATAGCGAAATCTGTAGTATGGTTCTAGATCCAGAAATTACCGCTACCGATAGTGAAGAAAGGGACAGATAAGTTACTGAAAACGAGAAAATTTCGATTGACAAGTTAGTTGGAAGTCTCAAAACAGCAGTTACAGGACTTCAACAATGTAACTGAACAAGAGATTATGTCTGTCTACAGAATTAAAAAGAAAGTACAGTCAAAAGTCGTTAATTCGGACACCCATAATCCGGAATGATCTATAATCCGGACCTCAAAGCTACAAACTTTTTGCGCATGCGTCTTAGTGACGCATGCGTGTAAGACCTTTACGGCGGCGAATACGCGCGTGCACAAAATACGTTTACGAATGCGCGTTTAATGTATAACGGACGGTATAAGCTAAGCTAAAATTATCTAATTCAGTTAATGTTGCAGATTACGTTGTTCCTTAATCTTTGAATTGGATTCGGCTTATTATTTTTTGCAGACTATTAGAGCAATTTTATAAAAGTAAGCTTGAATTTTCGATTATGTCAAATAGAATTTCTGATATATATTTACTAATATGTAAAGGATCTACAAAGCGAAAGTATGTTTCGAAGTCCATTAAACAAAAAGTGGAATTGCTGCAAAAAATGGATAAATGCATATCCTTTGTTTATCTTTAACGCCGAAAAAATTGAAAACAAAAAAATTTCGATTGACAAATTAGTCGGTATTCTCGACACAGCAATTATAGGACTTATACAGCAGAACTTTGTAAGTGAACAAGAAATTATGTCTGTTTATAGAATTAAAGAGAATGTATTATCACATAAAAAAAGAAGCAACTTAAACGACTTACATTGAAAGAAATGTTTAATAAAGTAAACAAATAAATAATAAGCTTTTTTTTTTTTTTTTTATTATTTTTTTTTTTTTTTTTTTTTTTTTTTGTAAATTTTGATACCTTTTAGATCATAATTGTTCTTTATTTCATAAATTACGGTTTCGTATTTTTAATTTTATAATTTCTGCATGCCATCTTACCAGATTTAAACTGATGATCTATAATCCGGAAAAATCGATAATCCAGAATCGCTCAAGTCCCGACGAGTACGGATTAATTACTGATATTTATTTAAAATTGTGAATTTCTTTATTTTATTTAGTTTTGGGATTTAGAGATGTATTTTGCATGCCATTCTTTTAGTAAGAGAGTCTTTTAGTAAAGTCTGCTGTCACTACAATAAATGGTACATGTATACAGGTTTAAAAGAAACACTCATTTTAGGAGACTTTCATCTCACATTAAAAAAAGTGTCTTCATTGTTAATCTGCATTTGAAACAGCCTTCTGTGCCTGCCTTTTTGTTATCCAGAATAATTAATTTTATTTCAAGGCAGTTTAGTAAACAACGCTTTAGTGAACTGGTTTGAAATAAAATATAATTTGAAAAATTCTCTTCTGTTGACCAACATCTCCAGTATGTAAGTGTCCAGTTTTTGTGGCCCATAGGCTCTACTTGCATCGTGTGATGCTGTGCAGAAGCCCTGGTGTAAGTGAAGCTCTTTTTCGGATTTCTTCTAGTAAGCAAAGTCAAATAAAAGTGAAGCTTTTGGTAAAAGCAAACTGGTGTAAACTATTTCAAAGCAAACAATATGTGTATAAGAAGTTATATGAAGTGCAATATATTGCACATATCTAGTATAATAATGTATAAGAATTTCATGTTCTTTTGAATAGAATCTCAATATTGGAATATGCAAATGAATGATACATAGGGTATCAATTTCGTATGAAATTTGAAATTTTAGGGGATAAATTTTGGAAATATTAAATGTATTTATAGTAAATTCTCTTTAATTCATAATTCTGGGGTCTTAAGTTCTTCGTAATGTAGGATAGTATAACAAAATCTGACATACATGGCTCACCATAAATGTGCACGAAACTGTTGAACTCGAAAAATTCATTTCCAGCAACTCATAATTTTTTCATAGTTTATATTAGTTTTACTTGATGTCAGTGCACTCTTAAAACTTGCATGCAGCATTCTCTAGGTTTTGATATGTGATTGTAAATATAGGAAATGTTTGTAATATGCACACTAACTATTCTGTTAGTTGTTTCTAAATACGTTTGTTACTTTTATATGGCAGCATGAAAAGGAAGAGAACAGAAGCTGCTGCTCCATTGCCTCAAGTAAGTTATTTTTTTGCAACAGAACTAGAAGTAAATAATGGTTCTAATCTGGTAGCATTTTAGACATCTTGTATTTAATGATAACGATATTTTTTTTACATATTTCACAACACACTATTAATGCCAAAAATTGTTTGACAAAATACATTAAACACACCAATGTGAATTGGAATTTATAACACTAAAACTACATTAATCTTCAATACTATTCCATTTTTTGTATAAATATCTCTCTGGGTGACCACAAAAGTAGAGTTGTAACTGTAAATGTTATTTATAAACTTGAAGCATCATTAATGGGAATTTCTACAAATCTGTGTGCTTTGACTCTAAAATGCTAAATGATAAATTTTTTCTATAGAATCCATACAGCATCTCATTTTATCCAAAATATGTTTCCACAGTATTTATTCTGCTCATACGAGGGCTATCCAGAAAGTAGATTACGTTTTGGAATAAAAAAATAAACAAAGTATAGGAAACAAATTTTATTATATACAGATGAAAGCCACACTCAAATACTACTTTTCTACATAGTCACCATACAAATTAAGGCATTTATCGTAGCGATGTACGAGCTTGGAAATTCCTTCGTCGAAAAATTCGGACCGCCTGCGCCTTCAACCACTTCGTTACCTCTTCTTGCAGCTGTGCGTCGTCATCAAAACAAAACGCTGCATAGCCAGCCACTTCTTCATTGCTGGGAATAGGTGGAAGTCGCTCGGTGCCAGGTCGGGACTGTACGGCGGCGGATGAGGAAACAACTCCCACTTAAAAGATTCAAGAACTTTACGAGTGACATTTGCCGTGTGGGGCCGGGCGTTGTCGTGAATCAACAAGATCTTAGAGCTCAACATTCCTCTGCGCTTGTTTTGAATTGCTCTTCTGAGTTTTTGGAGAGTTTGGCAATACCTTTGAGAGTTTATTGTAGTGCCTCTTTCCAGGAAGTCCACCAAAATTACACCTTTTCTGTCCCAAAAAACAGTCGCCATCATCTTCCTTGCCGACATTGTTTGCATGCATTTCTTGGGTTTTTGGGGAGAACTTGTGTGCCCCCACTGCATTGATTGCAATTTCGTTTCACAGTTCACATGTTTCACCCATGTTTCGTCACCAGTAACGATGCGATCGAGTAAAGAGTCACCATCCTTATGGTAAGCGTCCAAAAAGTTCAACGCTGCAGCCATTCGCTGATTTTTGTGGTCCTCTGTCAAGATTTTTGGAATCCATCTTGCACAAAACTTGTGGTAACCAAGCTTTTCGCTGATGATTTCGTGCAACAAACTTCGCGAAATTTTGTGGAAAACTCAAAGAAAGTTCCGTTATTGTGAAATTTCGATTTTCACGGACTTTAGCATCGACTTTTTCGAGAAGTTCGGCGGTCACTATGCTGGGTCTCCCACTTCGATCTTCGTCGTGAACATTGGTTCGGCCATTTTGAAATCTTATGACCCACTGACGCACTCCATCCTTCAGTGATAATGTTGTCCCCATACACTTCACGAAGCTGCCGATAGATTTCTATCGGTTTACAGTTTTTTGCAGTCAGAAACCTTATTACTGAGCGCACCTCGCAGCTCGCGGGATTTTCAATTAACGCAGACATTTCAAACCGTCACAGTATCTGAACGGAGCACAGCACGAACCTCTCACTAGCATGGCTAGATGCAGACTGAGCTGCGCAACGCTCTGACCCCAAGATGGCCGCGCTAGCCCCGCCCCTAGCGGACACAGACGGAAACGTAATCTACTTCCTGGATGGCCCTCGTATTTCTTACATTGTAAAAGGTTCTATATATGGGACACAACATATTTTGAAGACTAATGTTGATTATATGAAACTAAATCTTCAGAATTTCCATCATATCTTGTTTATACATATCTCGAAGATTATGCAATGATGTTTTTAACTGCAGTTAGGTTTTCTGTAACTGCAATGAAAAACTGCAGGATTCTATGTGGTGAGAGTTTTTAAAATGTTGCTTTTATATATTTAAATAGTTTACTGATATTTATTTAAAATTATGAATTCCTTTGTTTTATTTAGTTTTGTGATTTAGAGATGTGTTTTGCATGCCATTCTATTAGTAAGAGAAACTCAGTTTTTGAAATGGCAATACAATTGTGTGATTTTATGAATGTGTGATCTCAATATAGCAGCATAAACATAAATGTCATGTTGTAATCTCAAGGTTTTGATATGTGATTGTAAATATAAGAATTATTTGTAATTTATGCACTAACTATTGTAATAGTTGTTTCTAAATATATTTGTTACTTTTATAGGGCAACAGGAAAAAGAGAAAAAGGGCAGAGTCTCCTGCCTCAGTGCTCCAAGTAAGTTATTTTTTGCAACAGAATTGGAAGTAAATGATGGTTCTAATCTGATAGCATTTTAGACACCTTGTATTTAATGATAACAATATTTTTTTACATATTTCACAACACACTCTTAATGCCAAAAATTGTTTGACAAAATATATTAAACACACCAGTGTGAATTGGAATTTTTAACACTAAAACTGCATTAATCTTCAACACTATTCCATTTTTTGTATAAATATCTCTCTGGGTGACCGCAAAAGTAGAATTGTAACTGTAAATTGTTTATAAACCTTCAGCATCACTAATGGGGATTTCTACAAATCTGTGTGTTTTGAGTCTAAAATGCTAAATGAAAATTTTTTTCTATAGAATCCATACAGCATCTCATTTTATCCAAAATAAGTGCATTTCTACAGTATGTTAATATGTAGTAAGGTTCTGCAAGTATATGCAGATCCTTAAGAAGAAAGTATTTTTCCACAATATTTATTCTGGGTTGAGAGGAAATTTTCAGAAAGGTGCCTTTTGATGCCATTTCCCTCTAGGCGTCAAAAAATTCCTCCCAAGGATATAACGATTCAAGATGGCGGAAAAAATTGCGCCAAGTGCCGCTTATC